TGTAGGAGGCAGCACTAGGAGCAACGGCCTTAAGCTGCAGCAAAATAAATTTAGAGTGGAAGAAGAAATTTCTGACTGAAAATGGCCAAGCATGGGAACAGGCAAGTAGGAAAGTAACAGAAGATCCATCCCTGGAAATTTTCAAGAGCAGGTTAGACAGATAATTGGCTGGCAAGGTTTGGTGAGGGATTATCCTACCTCGAGCAGGGGTCTAGACTAGATAACCTTTTGAGGTCCCCTCCAGACCTACTTTCCTATGATCCTATGATTTGAAATCTAGAAACCACATCAGTAGCCATCCATTGGCATAACTCTGTCAAAATCACTGCTGCTGTTTGAAACATATTTCAAATCTCAATCTCAGAGATGTCATCAAATTCTTTCTTGTTAATGATTTGTCCACAATAGTGCCTGTACATCTCCATGCATGTTGTAGATAAAACCATACTTGAGGCATCAGCAGCCATGTCGGTACCATCTTTCAGGCTCAGTCATTTGCAAAACCTATTTTTTTTCTACATAATCAGCAACAAAATTGCACAGGAGCTAGCTTCTTTTTCTGATACCATTTGCAGGTCTTGGTGACATACTTTTCTACTGGCTGAACAGCAACTGTTCCAGTTGGAGAAGAAAAATCTGCAGTAGGCTGTACAGTCTTACATTCAGCTCAGACTTCAGCTCATTTGAAGGAAGGAGGATGATAAAGTGTAACAAACAGAGTTTTGCTTAGAGACAAATAGATAATTAATGCTTATGGAACACACACATTGAAAAAACAATCCTTCCATTCATCAGTCTCAGAGGGCTGCACCCATAGAGGCACCACAGGAAGTCTGCTCATTTTTGAAAGAAGGATTTCATAGTTTCATAGATTTCTTGCTTTGCCTATAAGCAACCATAGCAATCTGTGCATTCCAAGGGTATTTGCATGTGCCATCACACTGCTGTCCACTCTTTATCTGTGCTGTAGAATCACAGAAAATTAGGGTTGGAAGGGACCTCAGGGGGTCAATTTAGTCCAAACCCCTGCTGAAGGCAGGGCTGTCTTCCCACCAAGTAGATCAAATGATCTATATCTATGATTTAGTTGGGGGTGGACCTGCTTTGAGCACCTCCTGAGGTCCCTTCCAACCCTAATTTTCTATGATTCTATATCATCCCAACCAAGGCTTTGTTGAGCTGGGTCTTCAAAACTTCAAGGGTGGATACTCTGCAACCGCTCTGGGTAACTTGTTCCAGTGCTTTACTACCCTTCTCATGAGAAAGTTCTGCCTAATATCTAACCTAACCTTCCCTTGCTGCAACTTCAGACTGTTGGTTCTTGTTCTGTCATCTGCCACCACTAAGAACAGTCTAGTCCCACCCTCTTTGGAACAACCCCTTGAGGTACTTGAAAGCTGCTATTAAATCCCCCCTCAATCTTCTTGTCTCCAAACTAAAGCCCAGTTCCATCAGCCTCCTCCCGTAAGTCGCGTGCCCTAGTCCCCTAACAATTTTGGTGCCCTCACCTAGACTATCTCCAATTTGTCAACACCCTTTGTGTAATGGAGACCTAAAACTGGACACAGTACTCCAGATGTGGCCTCACCAGTGCCAACTAGAGAAGAAAAATCACTTCCCTTGATCTGCCAGCAACGCTCCAACTAATGCAGCCCAGTATGCCATTAGCCTTCTTGACAACAAGGGCACACTGTTGGCTCATATTCAGCTTACTGTCCACCATAACCACAAGGTCCTTTTCTGCAGAGCTGCTGCTTAGTCAGTCAGCCCCCAGCCTGTATCACAGCACGCATGGGATTGTTCCATCCTACATGTAGGACTTTGCACTTGTCCTTATTGAACCTCATGAGATTTCTTTTCGTCTAATCCTCCTATTCATTGAGGTCTCTCTGAATCCTAGCCCTACCCTCAAGCACATCTACTAATCCCTGCAGCTTGGTGTCATCTGCAAACTTGCTGAAGCTGCACTCCATCCCATCTTCCAGGTCACTGATGAAGATATTGAACAAAACTGGTTCCAGGACTGACCCCCAGGGCACTCCACTTGATACCAGCTGTCAACTATATATCAAGCCATTGATTACTGTGCTCATTGAGCTCGACAATCCAGCCAGTTTTCTAAACATCTTACAGTCCATTCATTCAACCCATACTTCCTTATCTCGCTTGCAAAAATGTTGTGGGAGACCCAGGCTTTACACTGAAGTAAAAAGCAATCTGTTAAGCAGAGATTTTCAGATGAGATCTTCTACACATTATACACCATATCAGATGTTAAGTCTTCAGGCTCCAAAATTACATAAAAGAGGAAATTTTAAACTTAAGAGGCAGGACAGGATACAAACTGAAAGTTGTGACAAGCTCACAGATGCCATAGTGCAACTTGAAATTCTTTAGCCTTATGCTTCTTCTAAAGTTCAGATCATCATTACATTTTTTTGTTTGGATTTGCAACTTTTGCCAACAAAAAGGGTTCAAAAATGCATTTGCCACCACATTTCTTCTAAAGAAACCACTAAAAACATCCTCTAATTCCATGTTTTCAGCTGGTTTCACTGGTGCTTTTTTTTTGTCCCTGAAATAAAGCAGCTAAAACAAGTTTGCATACAAAGTCTTTGATTTTCCCCTTGTTCTTTTTTCTCATGCCCAGTCTTCTCCCTTATGTAAGGGTTTTCTAACTTTGTAACATTCTTAACAGCTTTCAGTGAACAACTATCTTCATTTCATCTGCCAATGAAAAAAACATTTTCATTTCATGTTCATAGTTGCAGCTTAAGTCAGTGGGAGTGAGGACAAAGCTGAAAAGTCTACTCCTAGATAGCATTTTGTAGGACAATAAAAGCCTGTTCAGATAACATCAATTAAGTAAAGGTTCAGTTTGGATAATCAACGCTACAGTATGTGTGAATTTAAAAATCAACAGCCATTAAGGTTCCCTCACCTTTGGTAATGGATGTTTTACCTCCAGAACATTAATTTAAGATCTTCTAAAATGCAGGAAAGTGCACCTGAAATTTCAGTTGAGGGAAAAGACTTCTCACCCATTTAAATCTTTATCGACTTCTTATGTCATCATAACAGTCTTCTGACTTTTGTATGTCTAGGTAAGAACTTGCAAATAACTCCAAAGCATAGCAATTTCAACTTAGATTTATTACAGCTTTATACAGTAAAGTCACCTATTACACCACTAAGCTTGAAAGAAATCAAGTGAAATATAAAGCTTTCACCAAATAAGTTATGAAAAGTGTTTTCGAATAATGTTCTTTTGCTTGCTTCATTGAGGCACATACTGAAAAAACTGCCACAAGAACAGTGGTCTCCATAGCTAACTTGCACATCCTGAATTTTAGATTATGCACACAATGTATATTAAGCACTGAATAATCAGAGCACTTAACACATTAAACCATTTAACAGTGGCCCTGATGCAAAAATTCAATTTGCATTATTTATACAACAGTTTAAAAGCACTTGGTAAAGTTGTGTGTATTCCAACCAACTGCCCTTCCCCATAATTTTCTTTGTAAGATCTGTTAATTGCAGCTTACACAGAACAATTTACAAACAACAATATTGTTCTGAAACCTGTGCAATGTAATTAACAGACCAGAGGAGAAGTCCTGGCTTCACTGATGTCTATAAGACTTTCTCCATTCAAGGATTCCAAGATTTTACCCCAGTTATTTATAGTTTTTTCTTAGAAAAAAGACTAAGAGCCAACTCAGAGAAATACAAAATGGTAGTTTAGAAAAGTACTTCCAGGCACACAGATTTAGTACAGGGATGTGCTAGCTGTCACATATCTCAAAACTACAGCCACGAGTACAACTCCACGTGCAAGTCACAGAAAAATGTTGCAGCAACAGCAAACCAGAATAGGTGGGAGAACACAACAGTTAAACCCAGCTGAATTAATTGTTAAGGCTGTAAAACTGTACTCTGGGAAGAAAAACAGGAAATCCTTATTTTGGTATTGCTTCCCTAAGCAAGTACATATCATATAGTATTTTTTAATTAATAAAATATGAAATTCTGGGTAAACATTTCTACACGTGCAATTTAAGACTGTGGATAGGTATTAAAATGCCTTGGTATTAAAATAGATTGGGAGATATATGTATAGGCACAACTGTGCAGAATTTTTTTTAACACACGTACTTCAGATGTTAACTGATTCTTCAAATATGTTAATTCATTATATTTATTAGCTTTGTCTTGTAAACTTAAAATGACCTGGTTCTTAAAAATCTACACAGTGAGAGAAAGATCTGTTTACATCCTAAGTAGATGCTGGATTGCCCCTCATCAACCTTACTTCTCTGGCATCACGATTTGTTAAAACAGAATGTTTCATTCAAATTGGAAAACAAAGGGGATGTTTCAGGCATTTCAAGTGAAATCCTCTCTAAAAGTAAATTAATGTAGGATCTCAAATCCTTAGTCACATAGGACCACTGAAATCAACAAAGCTCTCTCATGTTTTAACTACCTAGTTATGCAAGGATCTGCAAGCAAGGTGGTGGCCAACTTACTCTTTCACTGAAGTTAACAGAAGTTGAAATAATTCAACTACTTTCATGATCTACGCTTACTTTGCTTCAGAATGCAGATCACTTGCATCAAAACATGTCAGTCATGTTCAAGTTTCATTTGTATTTCCTAATGCTGAAAAAGGTAAAGAAAATTATTTTTATTGCATGTGTAACTATAAACTTTGCAGAATTCAAAGGTAAAAAAAATCTTGCCTTACTGTAAGTGGAGAAAGTGTCTCAAAATTTTGTTAAAAATGCATCAGGTTTCATTGTCATTTTCTAACTTAAGTAAATGTAGACATATGCAATAAAAGAAAACCATAATATTTTGGCAGCACTGATACTATAGATTGCTTGAGCCTAAACATCTCAGGGGTCATAGTCCTTTTAAAGTTAGCCTCTGTGGCTCCTGACCCTGAGAAGTTCCACAAACTCTGTGGGACAGGTTTGGGACTTTCTGGGATAGGCTGCTCTGCCTCCAAATTGCTACAAGGAGGAACCTCTAGGTTTGTAGGCAGTCAACAAGGTGAGAGGCAGAGACGAATGGTGGGAGGGGCAAGAAGTGTATTAGCACAAAGAACCAAATCCTTGCATTCTGTAAACTACTGCAGTGCAACTGAAACCAACGGAGATATGAAAAATTTACATGAGCTGAACCTTCCCAAAGAGGGCCCCAAAGGTTCCTTCCTCAATAGGACAACCATCAACTTGAAGCAATTTGATGTCTAAAAGACTGTTTGGGGAACTGCATCATTTAAAATCTATATATAATTTCCAGTATACCAAAGTACTTTTACTTTCAGGAATTTAAGACAAACTTTCTCATATTTGTAAATGTCACTACAAACTCAAAGCATACTCGAACATAAACCTAGCAGATACTGACGCTCTTAGCTTGTGCAGGAGAGGAAAGGTGTATAAAGCTCCAGTAAAGCCATACATACAGCAATTAGGGGACCATTAAAACAACAGCCCTAAACACATCATTTCATCTCAGTGAACACCAAACCTATACTTGGGTTTCTGATCATTCAAGAGCTCAAATAAAATAATTCAATCCATTATGTTTCTGAACTCAAATTAAATAAAGTAAAAAATGGATTCACTAAAAACCAAACCAGAAAAAACCCAACCATCTCAAATACCCAGTGAAAATAATGTGCTCCTCAGTGGCATATCCCTTTGTATGCAAGTGCAATTATGCAGTGTAGAATTCAACTACATTTTCAGTCTCCTTCAATATGAGAATAACTCAGACTCATTACTCTCACATTTTAGGTGACGTGTGTAAGTGGAAATGAATGACTAAAACAACATGAAAACATTCTGAAAACATATCCATTAATATTAATATATAGTTGTTTCTGATTCAATGGTCCATTTTTAGTTGTACAACTGGTTCCCAGAGAGGAATCTTTGGAATGTTTATTGCCATCATGACCCAGTATCATCAATGTAATTATGTGCTCTTTCATCTAAAAATAATGGATATGCAGCTTCACATTGTCAAGATAATTCTGATTCCACACCAAGATGAAAAATATACTAGCTCAAAGTATATATGCACCAACACTTTCAGCCGTTACCCATGTTTTTGCGTAAGCTATATGTCTGCAGAACATTTTAAAATGTCATTTTGACTGTTTATAATCTTCACACCATTCATGGTTGAGCCACAGGGTGTCTACACTGAAAATAGGAGTGTAGTGAAAAGATACCAAAGCTAGCTTTAAACAAGCTAGCTTGGGTACCTGAAGCAGGTAGGCTGCAGCACAGAGTTCTAGGCACACTGATGTTACCAAAAGACTACAGTCTGTAGCACAGGCTTATCTGTAGTTTGACTTGAGACGCACGCAGCACTCAGGGCATTCAATGAGAACTGCACACAGCCATCTGAATCTAGAATCTGGCTTACCTTACAGTATTTCAGGCTCAAATTTTACTTAGTTTGTCTTATGTTACTCACCCTCTTCACTTAACATTGCTTTTTATTGTGTTACATTTTTAAAACATTTTATATAACCACTGGATTACTGGACAAAGTGCCTTGCACCATAAATCAGAATCTTCAGCTCTACTCTGCTCAAACATAGTTTCACATCAAACATTTCAGTCCTGAACATCGAAATAGTCAATCACTGGCTCCTCTTTCAATCCTTTCTGTAAGCCACTGTTTCCATTACTCCTGAAATTAAAACCATAAATTATTCATATTAATGAGAAAAAGTAACTTAATTAAAAAATAGTAAGAAATTCCTACCAAATTACCAAACCAACTTTGAACCAAATGACCAAACTGAAATAATTAATACAACATGTGATGCTACAGCATCCTAATAGGTGGCAAGGATCAATAGAACACATTAGCAAGCTGTTAACAGGTCTACAACAAGCAGTGACCTCTGTAAAAGTAACTACTTTTTAAAGAACTGTGCTTCCTATAAATACGAATATTAACAATTTGGCCATTCTGATATTAAGGTGTCAAATGAATGTCTTTCCATCACTACACCTTTGAGCAATGGCAATCTGATCAAGATAAGGCCAGGATTAAAAAAAACAAGGTGTGGCAGTTCAGGACCAAGATGCAGTAACAAGACTGAGACTGATGGCCCATCTTGTCACTTTAGTGACTACTAAATTAAAGAAGAACATGTGAAACAACAAAAAGGCTCTTACTTCTCAGTTTGTCTGTAGTGAGGAATAGGTGGTGGAGCCCTTGTCTGCATTTCCTTATCTAGGACAGATGTTAGGGAATTACTTGGACAAACTGACTTCCCCCTAGAGAACAAGAAAAGTAATTTTATTTTTGACAGCTGGTGTACACACTTCAATAAAATAATCTTATTCTTAAGAACCAAAGATAAAAAAAAAATTAAACTGCATCAATACTGAGATTCTCTAAGAACTAATGATACACACTGTGACTCAAAGCAGTAAGCAGTACAGCATTCTGAACTGGTTTTAGGTGAGGTTGGCTAGGGGGTGAAAAGAAAGCTACCTGAATATATATATCAGTCTGACTGTGAATGGGGACCAAAAAATACTAAGAGAACATTATTTATCTTACTTTAAATGTCTTTCTATAACATAACAACTATGCTGATGGCCTTTTAAACTGAGACCACAGATGCAACAAATGGGGTGAGGTTGTTGGTGATTGACAGCTTTGCATGGAGGCAGCTGTTCAAGTATATCCATGGCCCTAGACCAAAACTTCAACAATTAAAGCCAAAGGCCCCCTCTACACATGCAGGTAAAAGGCATGATTCCCACACTCCTGCCACACCACACATGCACAGCAGGAGGTGCGATTGTAGGATTCCACATTAGATCCCATTGCATCTTACTGCCAGTGCAGGGGGAGCCCAGTCCTCCACTCCCCCTATATGGGCAAGAAGCAAGCTTCTGCAGCTGAGCCCCAGGCAACCCAAATCAAGCTCCCAGCCACAAAGGTGGCCCCATACCCCCCTCCCCCACTCAAGAGGTGAAGGATCCCCACTCCAGCAATCTCCCCACCCTGGTGGTGTGGGAAACCCCTGAGGCTGGAGTATTACTGCAACCCTGCAGGTGCCAGGGGATTTCTGCACTCTGGAGCCCTAGGGATCACAGCTGCCATGATTCTTAGGGCTTGGGGGTGCAGGCAACCTCTGGACCTGGGGGATCATGGCTGCTGTGATCCATAGGACTCAGGGATTTTATGCTGGGCATGGTGCACCCCTGCAACTGGGAACCCTGTCAGGTGACTGGGCTCCCAGCCACAGGGGAGACCCTGCTACACATGCAAATTAAAGCTCAATAGCAACCAGGTACAAAATTAGTACACATTTCAAAGTCTAAACTGTATAGCTGCTTGGAGCTTTTTATCGTCTAATAGCTACTTTGCATGTGTAGCTGGTCTCCAGTTAATTGCGCAATAACTGTAACAAGTAAAGGGGGTCTAAAGCCTCTAAGTCTAAAAGTGACCATGTGATTTGACCTCCCACATACACAGACAACAGACTTTTCACAGAATAGATTAAATAATATATTCTAGAAAGATATTTAATTTCATCTGAAAGCCTCAAAGAGGTGGTGTGCCTACCACTTCTCTTAGCAGACTGCAATAATGTTATTTCCCTCACTATTGGAAATCGTACCTTATTTCAGTAGTGAACTTATCTTACTTCAGCTTCCTGAAGGGGAGTTAAAAAGAGGATGGAACTAAACTGTTCTCAGTGGTGGCAGATGACAGAATGAGCAACGATCTCAAGTTGCAGCAAGGGAAGTTTAGGTCAGCTATCAGGATGGATTTTCTCACTAGGAGGGTAGTAAAAACACTGGAAGAGGTTACCCAGAGAGGTGGTGGAATCTCCATCCTTGAAGGTTTTTAAGGCCTGGCTAGACAAAGCTTTGGCTGGGATGATCTAGTTGGGGATAGTCCTGCTTAGAGCAGGGGGTTGGATCAGATGACTTCCTGAGGTTCCTTCCAACCCTAATTTTCTATGATTTGTAATCCATTGCCAAATTTCTGTGAAAATCTTATACCTGTGTTTTTTCCATTAAGACACAAACAAAGTTTTAGAATTCCTAGAATACTTTGCTCTGTTTAAATAGGATTTGTCTGATTGACAGACCATGCAGATGAAGCTAACTGATACGCTGAGAACAAGTAGGTTGAAGATAAAACGAGAGAAGAAAAGAGTGATGTGCTAGCTGATGTGGCAGGACAGAAAGGGCTCCCTTAGGAAGTCTTGGGCAGTATACAGCAGCACTCTGCAGAGGCTGAGGAAAGTTCAACCAACAATTAATTAAATTCATTAGTCCTTCTAACACAGTCAAGGTTTTTTGACTAGATGTGGTATCTTTTATTAGACCAACTGAGCAGCTGGAAAAAATTTCTTGGCTAACTTTTAGGTGCACCCTTCTTCAGGCATGGGAAGTCTCTGCTGTTCTGAGACTTCAAGAAATGAAAGAAGCTAAAAGTGTGGCAGGATGTCAGTGAAAATGTAAATAGGTAGAGTTAGAAAGACAAAAGGTGAGGCATATGATGATACAGCAATTAGAAAGGTAACTTTAACTAAACTTAAATACAAAATGTAGAAGCCACTGGTGCCCAAGAATGCTGTATGAGTTATTCCAGAGCTAAACTGAGCATAATACCAGAAGGACATATTTAACAAAGAAATTTCAGCTCTATCTTGAATCATTAAATAAAGTGATATGATGCCAAACTATTCAATTCTGACTTAGAAGTATTGCTGGCCGTACTCAACAACGTCTAGTTACAGAAAGGGAGGGGGAAGGAAAAAAAAACAAAAACAAATCGGACCAGCTGCATTAGGTTGCCCTTTATACAGCATTAGGTAGACTCTGCCACACAGAACAAACAAGGTCTTTTGGATGAAATGATTCTCATCTTTAATTCCTTCTGAAAAAGGGAATCCTTTCCAGGCCTGTCTGTCCCCAAAACTCAAATTTCTTCAGTTTCATAAGGAGTTGGATTTGGGCCACCTGGATGAGTAAGATTCAACTAAGAAAGAAAACTGAAAGAACATACAAGATTCAACTGAGGGGAAACTAGCCATGCAAGTCTGATTTTATCTGAATGCATATAGCTTTTCTTTCTGGAATAAAAAGGTCGCTCCTTTTTAAATTTCAGATGTGTAACAAGTGGAAGTTGGCAGTTTCTTTAACTATAGTGACCAGGGCTTTAAGCAGCTTTTACTTGGGGAACAGTTCCCCTCCTTATCCCCCACCCCTTAAAAAGGATAAGAAGCAGACTGAGGGGATGTTCATATCTGGAGAAGAAAAAGAAGGAAAAAAAAAATCTGTGTTGTAGAATAACCTCAGAATATTTTTTTTGGAAGGCCCTGGCCCCTTGGCTCTATCAGTGCGACCACCTTCCAGAGAGTGAGCTGATGAGACTTTTCCCTGTTCGCAGTGTAATGTGGTTTTGATTCAGGCTACGGGTCTCCAACCAACCCCGTGGGCCTCATGCAGCATGCCGAGCTGGTTTGGCGCACAGGCCAGACCACAGCAAAGGGGTCAGCATGGGGCACAGGCTGCACGTGGCAACCTGCTGCACCGGCTCCATGTGCTAGCTCCAGTGCACGGTCCAACCCAGACTGCAAATCAGCCCAGTGACTCTCATCCGCCCAACCTCATCAGCCCAGTGACCCCCACAAGGCCAAATGAGTTTGACAGCCCTGACTGAACATTTTGAAACATAAAAATAGATTTAATGATGAAATTATGTTCATTTATATTGAAACATAAGTTATAAAATGATTAGCACTTGAATAGTCAAATGGAACTTGCTTGCTCTCAAAGTTTTAAAGCAAGTCTGAACTGGTAGGAGTCAGTGGCTTATGGTCTGGAACTAGTCCACTGAAGTATTAAGTCTGCAGGTATCTTCTTCTATTGTAGAGTGAATATTTTATTTATTTTAGCTTAACTAGTTCAGGAACAGTTTGTTCAAAGTTTAGAAACTGATTAGGACTTGAAAAAACCTGACAGAAAAGCTTGTATTAATCTTCCAAACTATAGCTAAAATTTAACTGCAAAAAAGGTTAATTAAGCTCTAAAATACTGAAGGAGGTGGTTACCAAATGCAATCAGTTCAATTCAACAGCTATAGACAAATTCCTTTTACACAACCAGGTTTTAAAGTCCAAACTTTGTCTGAAGAGCACTACTTTTATTCTCCTCATGCAACCAGCACATTTAAGATCAGCTTTATTTAAATAAATCTGTTTGAAAAACAAAATCAGGATTTTCAAGCTCCAATTTCCATCCAAATGCATCCTGGCAAATCAAGTGAAATTAACTACTATTCATATGGGATATGCCACTCATTTTTTAACTTAAAATTAAAAATTAGAATACATGTATGATAGACTAAATACACTCTTAAATAAATGTATACACACATATTGTATACCCTGGTTAAAAGTAGTACTGAACTTAGCTTAATGGCTACATTTAGAGGAAAGTTGCTATGTTTTTAGGGTTAGCAATCAATGAGAATCAATCTCCCATTAGTAGAGGAGAGAGCAAAAAATACAAAATAAAATTAAAATTGGTTTTCAGTTTGCCAGTTTAAATCAAGCCAATTAAAATCCAATCTAAATAGGCCTCCACATTACTGGATTTCTTCTGCACCATCACATCAAAACCTACTTTTAAAGATAATCACGTTCACTTCAAAATAGTTTGTTTTAAATGGCAAAAACATGGAAAAATAGTCCAGAAATCTTCTGATAGTAAGGGTAAGGTGAATTTTTATTTTTATGATCCAGTCCGCCCATGTGCATATTGTTTATCCATCATCAGAATTCTGTACCTAGGACCACCTGCTTGGCATTCTCTTACACCTGGAGTGGCCAACCTGTGGCATGCGCTACAAGTGGCATATGCAGCCTGTGTGTGGCACATAATGGATCGGGAAGGGGACAAGCAGCAGAGTGACATATTGGGCAGGAAGCAGAAACCAGAGCAGCAGATTGGGCAGGAAGCACTGGGGAAGGAACAGAAAGCAGAGTAGCAGATTGGGAAGGGGATCATAAGAGCATTCATGAAGAGTGCAAGCTAATTTGTGATATACCATCAAAAACTTTGGCCCCCACTGTCTTACATCTTACAGAAGGCACTAGGTGAGATCCCTGTTTAGCTGTCATCTCCAGACAGCTGGACTCTCTGGCTTCAATGATTTTGAGAATATGTACCTTTTGTTTGGGGTGTCAAGGGATTTGCCCTATTTTTGGGGGGGTTGGGAGCCTACCTTTGCACCTTGCCCACAGAGCTTGACGTTCAAGAGCTTTATACTGCTTTTAGTCCCCCTCCTGATTTCTCCACAAGTCTCTTCCACTTGTTCTCCTTTCTTCCAGTGTATTCGCCTTCCTTTCTTTCCAACTTGAGATTCCCCAATGACTCTAATGAAGGTCCCTTCTATTCCCATCTGTACCCAGGTACCTCCCATCCTCTTCTTTTAAAAACAGAAAAATTGAGGCTGTGACAAGCTGGCAGGTAAGGCAGTGAACAGCCTAAGGAATAGGGCAATTTACAACTCTAGGTTGCTCAGCAGCAGTGACCTCTGGTGATGAGAGGCAAAAGCTACAACAAAACACAGCTATTAGGGGGACTAGTCATTAGACTGTGCTGTCATGCTAAAAAATGGGAGATCTGAGGGGAATTAAAAGACATTCCCAAGCAAATTATTCTAGTTTATTAGACCGTGTTGCTTCCCAATTAAAACCTGCTTAGAGCACTTAAAATGGCTAAAAAGTTCTCTCATTTGCAAAATGCTTTTGAAAGAATGCATCAATTGTACTAGACTGTGCTAATATTGTAATGCTTAAGCTCACATGAATGACTTTGCAAACTAAAATAAAATAAACTGCATACTTCACCGCAGTGATAACAACATTGCGTTTCGGTTCGTTGTCATAGCTCACACTTTCAATGCCATAGATCTGAGCTAGCTCATGGATGATCCTGCGATGATCTCTGTTCATGGGTGGGTAACAGTGACTCTTTTTTGTATGCCTTCCCTGAGTTTGGGAGAAAAAAATGGCACATTATTTTTTCATCAAAATGCTTACAATAGGATTTGATGTCTAAGCTTCTCTGGCAGTAACCAAAGTTATTTGTGTATTACACACAATCCTAGATACTACTGACAAGCTCCACATGTAAATTAAGTTCCATTTAATTGCTCTTAAACAGTGTACACACAGACACACACTCACACATGCACAGATGCTTTATGTAAATGTTTAGATTCTCAAATTGCACACCCCCAGCATTGATTGACAAAAAAAAAAATATCTATCGATACTATATTCTACCCAGATCCCTAGAGGGCTGGAATAACAGAGAAGAGAGTATTAAGAGAGGATGATAAACAGAACAATTTGTTTCCATTTGGCTTTTAATTGTGTGAATATGAATGCACAAGGTTTATTTATTTAATAGTCCTCCTTCCATAGAAAATACATTTTATGCCAATTTTAGCATCTGATCAAAGAGTCTTGGTCAATGTGGAAAAAGCAAAAGAAAGAATTTTTTTTTTTTACTTAAAATGATGTTAAGTGAACCATCTCCCAAAATGTTCTGCAGTACACAATAACCCTCCAATGCAAGTCCCAGCTCAACAAATCCATAGATTACACATTGAAAGGATACTGATATACAAGTGATATTATAATTCTTATCATTCAGCTGCTGCAGAAGTACTTGTTTAAAATAAAGAATCTTAAAAATAGGATAATTACAATTAATTTGAAAATGGAAAAAAACATTACTGCATGCTTAGCCAAAATTAACCTGATTTTGACCCACTGTACAATCTTTAATCACTAATTATTTAGGAAGCATTTAAATTCAAGTTGTTTGGCCCACAGGTTTCCATTTCTGTATCAGAGCAATTCTGTCACTAAAGAAAATCAAAAACTTGGAGCAGTTCTTTAAGATGACTATGCTGTAATGATTACAAAACATGTTCTTAAATGTCTGCTTGGGGTTCCAGCTATCAGACTTTGATTAATGGAAGCCTACTGAAGATTAGTCATTTTTGTCATAATCCTGTCTTCTCACATCTTGGTTTGGAGACAAGCGAGTGAAATTAGCAGGGGAACACAGGTAGATCAAAGGGGACTATGTGGCCACTCTGCTGAAAAAGAGACTTTTTCAGCCCTCCCAAACCATGAGACTGATAAGAAAGAGGAGCAGGACCCAAGAAAGTGAAAAAACAGTTTTGCCCAGAGACCATGATTTTCCATCTTGATGACCATCAGGACACAGTCATTCATCCACTGGAAGACAAATGCAACCAGCCTTCCCTTGTTATAAACCTTGATGCATCTAAACAAATTATGAAAATTCTGCATCTGTTTTTTTACAAGGGGGGCAAGTTTCATTCACAAGGTGGTGCATAGCTTTAGGCTCAGGGAAGCAAGTGAATCGTGTCCAGATACAAAGAGAGAAGACACTTTATGGTAGCTGGCAGATTCCAAGCAAGAAGGAATGGAAAGTCAGATGCAGGATGGCCAAAGAAGAGGACACCAGGAATTCCAATTCTTTTCAGTGTAAGTAGCCTTTTTCTCTTTCCGCTGCTTGTCTAAATGCACATTCCACTCTGAGCAAATTCAAGAATACAAGATTCACCAGGAGGCATGATGTCCCAGCTCTGCGTAAACAGAGACTGCAAAATTGCTTTCCAGAATTCAGCATTCAGTCTGGAAGTTTAAGCAATGGCACAGCATTTGGGGAAGGGTATCAACGGAGTGCCACAGGGCTACTTTACAAATGGTCTGGAACTCAGGCATTTTGGAGAGGCATCTGCAGATGCCACCCGCATTCTGATAGTGTGTTCCGAGTCCTGCCAGGGACTTCCCCTTTACAATCTTGTAATGCACACTGATGTAATTAAAGGTCTGCTTTGACAGTCTCAGGATGGAGACTACTGTGCTCAGATTGTCTGTCACCATGGTTATTGGTAGTCATAGTAATTTGAAAAAGCTTGGTTCTTTGCAAGGAAGCACCTTCTAGGTGGAATATGGCATCAAGTGGATCTCCCAGTAGTGTCTGAATCTCACCCACCTGTCTCACTGAAGTAACACCTGATTAAAAAAAAAGTCATCTTCACAGAGAGCTAAGACAATAACTGTTCAAACAAGGGAGTCTTAGGCACTGTATTCTTTAGGGAGAACATTTTAGCCTGGGTCTTCAGAAGTTTCTGTATTACAGAATAGGAGAAGACTCTCTTTCCATAGGCAAATGACGGGACAAGAAAGTACACACCGAATAAAATTAAGATAGGTCACATGCTTCAATTCCTGAAGATGATCTAGATTGCTGGGGTAGGGGTCTCATGCAAAAATCAGGGCTCTCATCCTACAACGTCATAACATGTCAGACAGATCTGCCTCAGTTTGATTTCCTGTTGTTGATATATGTGCATTTTTAATCGAAGAGAAAATAAGTTTGTGATGTGATGAAGGGTGTTCAAATCTGAGTGAATATCCATCTCCTGTCTTGGTAGGACAGGTCTGGGAGCAACAGCAGGGCCTTGGAACCCTAGGACAACACAACGTCTGGGAACCAAAACTACCTCACTTTATCCAGGTATAGGCCAGAATAATCAGCCATGCAGTCTTGCCTAACCTTACTCAAGAACCAGAAGGAAGACAAACTTTTCATCCATATCCACAGAACAAGGTAGGCACTGGACAGATATCTTGAACAATCCACTTCAGAACAAAAGGGAAAATATAAGCTTGCAGATCTCGAGGAGGCCAAGTTGGAACAGAAGAGTGTGGCCTGGTCCTTTTTGAGGCAGAGATGAAACCTCCTTAGGTTAAGGAACTTAGGTGATCTAAGGCAAACTCCCCACCCTTACCCCTGCAGGCAATGAATACAAGAAAAAATATAAATTAGAACTTAGATGTTAGAAAAAATTATAAATGAATTAAAATGGCAGTACAGCTGAAACCACACCTGCATGGACACAAGTTCTGCCCCTCCTCAAAGTTAACTGAGATAAAGAGAAGCTGGAAGTGTGCATTGCCTTTTATTTCTTTGGTGCAGGCAAAGAAGAGACAGAACACACGGATGTCAAACTCACTTTGGGCTGGATTCATGTGGCCAGTGGCAAGTCTGGTAGCGGTGGCAGGTGCAGGGCAAGCATGGCCTGTACCTGCACAGCCCAAGCTTCTCCCCCTACTGCTGACAGTCATGTCCATCAGGGACTAGGGACTCCAGATTCTGCAGAAGGCCCTTCCCCCACCTCTGGTAACTGCTGATAGCCCAATGGGCTGTACTTTTGGGGCTTCTGTTCTGCATGTACTGCCAAGGCAAAAAGTTGTACATGGGAGGCACATGCACACCGAGAATGGACCGTAAAAAGAATGAATATATTTTAGGGCCAGAAGGGACCATTATGATACTATAGTCTGATTGCTTTGATACACATGGCACCTAAATCTAGAATGGAGCAAGAATGGAGAAGAATATTGCTCCTTGTTCAATACTTTGATTTAATCTTAGCTCTAATTCCAAGAGCAAAAAGAAAATAATTTATGGGAGAGGAAGAATGAAAGAACTACTTCTCTGTTACTACAAGGCATAACCTTGAGTAAAAAGGGTTACAGACTGACCAGCAGAAATGATGGGCTTGCCTCTTGCTGAGCCAAAGCTCATTACCAAAGTTGCTGCAGGAAGGACAAAAGAAAGGCTATATGACAATTCTTACCTGTGATAAATCTTAAAAACGTTTATCATAGATCCCCATTTTCTGACGGTGCAGTAAGACTGACAGAAAAATATTTATGTTACCAATACATGACCAGTTCTTGGATGAAGTCTACACAAGAACATGAATGAGTTCTGATCAGCATATCCTTCAGCATATTTTAAGAACATTTCATGTGGAGAAATACTACAGGAAGTTGGCAATTTGCTGCTGTCAGGAAAAATGAAGCTCCATTATATTTCTTGCAATAATGTTCTAAGACACTTAACGCTGATGAAACCATGTAAAATTCTTTGCTCCTGATCAATGCCCATTTTGAAGGTAAAAGCTGCATTATTCTGGGATTTTTTTTCCCCAGAGATAAAAAGGCTAAGAGTATCCTGATAAATCCAGTACCAGTTGAGACAGCATATTAAGACAAGCTTCAACCAATTTTTAAAAGATACTAGTCTGTACCTGTTGTCACAGTCGTATGAATTTTTATGGGACAGAAAACACATTCTTTTATCTAACATTGTTTCAAATGTCTAGTAAAGACCTATTTCAGAATTTAGAACAAAAACTGAACACACACACACTGAAACAATTTTTTAAAATTTAACTTTAAGAAGTAAAACAGTTGAGCACTGCAAGAAGTCGCATGCAATTTGTTCATTTTGGTAAAAGCAAACCACATACAAAGAGGAAGTTTTAAAATGAAAAAAAATATATAGTGCTCAGCTGAAACCCTGAAGAACAAAAATACTCAGCACACACTCCTACTTCAAGAGATTTTTTTAATTTAGGAACTTCCCACCAACCTTATTTACAGCATCCACAAGTGCTCTCATTTCCTTCTCAACATCACTGACAAATTTTAAATCCTTCCTGCAATAAAGAATTATTTACAATGTGAATAAGATTAAAGAAGAAAAAAGAACTGCAGCCTTTACTTGTCACATATACAAAACATTGATAATTCACCTTGACTTTTCTTAATGCAATATGACAACTGCGCTCTCTCCCATTTGAATTTCATTTCTTCACCTTAGTGATTACAGCCTGCTCAACAGGCTGCAAACTTGAGGGGAAGTGGGGGGAGGGGGAAGCAAATTTTCAGATTTTCTCCATTTACAATCAAGAGTTTTTTCTGCAAGTATATAAACATGAGAACAGAGTTTGGAATATACAAATTATCCTACATGGAATCAGGAGTAGTTATGTTTTCTGTTAGGTAAGTCAAATGGTCTTGGTGAAGGAGAGAGAGTCAAAGTCACCACTGTTGATATTTCTGTGTTGTACCTCCCACTAATGCATCTTGGCAGCTAGGGTCGACTTTAGCAATTTAAGACTACAAAATAGCTAGAAAGAACAAGGTAGTAAAATCTTTAAGTTGATAAAACCATGATATGATGTGTGATATTCTGCTTTGCAGGGGTTTCAATTTAGGGACCTTTTGTATGAAAGTCAGTGCTAAGCAACCTTAACTGTATATTAGCCATGTTTGTTTGCGAGTGCGTTTGCCTACTTATTGAAATGGGAATAATGAGACAAACATTAAATAAAGATCACCTCAGTAAGAAGGAAGGTCTGCATGAGGCTTCCTGAGTATAAACCTCCCCTACTCTACTACAGCCCTGTCCTCCCTAGTTGAAGAGGTTATAGAGAACAGAAGGTAGTAGCAGAACTGAGAAGAGGACATGCACCAGCTTTGGTATAGAAAGGGAAAGAGAGAAGAGCTCCTGCAAGCTTTCATCTAGTGTGTGACGCTATAATGGGCTCCTCTGGGAGTGAAGTAAGCCAGTGGAGCACTCTCAGTGGAAAGGAATTTAGCCTTAAAAATAATTCTGAAAAGTGTGAACTACCTTGTTTGTTTCACTAAGTGCTCCAAAAGAGGTCAGGCACATAACTCATTTAGGACCTTTTGTAAATACCACTATAAACCTATCTGCATCTTTAATTATCTATATACCTTCATAAGTCTGGTTTGTGGATTTTAAAGCATGTCAGAAAACAGAATGTTAAAATGGAAGCTTAGCTCAATCTTATTCTGTGCTACAACAGGGGACACCCTACACTAAAGGAGACGGCCAATTATATATTTATTTCCAGAAAATACATGCCTCAGGTTATTAAAAGATCCTAATGAACAGAATTAGCCTGGAGAGGGGGTGCATAAGTAATATCTAGATAATTTTTGTCTATATACATACAGATATCAATATAACTACATATAATTTACATTCTCTGTGTGTGTTTGTGTTCCTAGCCAACCATGGCAGCTCATACCTTGCATCTTCTTTTAGAACCTCACTGTACTTTGGTCCAGAAGAACGGACATTAAAAGGGTCAGAATTATCATCAATTTGAAGAGCCTCAGCAAGTCGTCTGAAAGACAGAAAAGCACTTCATACGTATTTAAAGAAAACTCTTCAGTGACAAAATGACTCACTACAAAGAAGAATCAGCACTACAGAATCAAAGCTGGTGAAGGTAAAATTGATGAATCTGAAAGTATTTTTAGTAAAAACATGTTTGAAAGGTTAAGTTAATTATGTTTGATCACCCAAAACAGAATGTTTCTAGAACCGATGTAGGCAGTTTATTATTTTTTTTCAAATGCGATCTTTTTCACAAAGCCAAGCTACTAGAAGTCAATTCTTCTATTAAAAAGTGAGCAGTCACCACGCACCTGTTCCTTTCAAGGGCCAAACATTCTTCATCACATTGCAACCTAAATTATTTAAAAAAAAACACACACAACATTAGTATTTAAGGTTTAAAAGTTTGTAAATGCTCTCAGTTAAGATTACCTGTACAATCTCAAAACAGCCCCATATACTAAGAGACTTAAAATCCTCCTTATCATCTCACATTGAAAGCCTATGAGACAGGAGAAAAGACCTCAGCATTTATGAACACTAGTCCAGTGCCTTAACCCCTTGCGACCAATCCTGTTTCCACAGTCCTCTGCCTCATTCACTTTTTGTCCTGTATACCAAATGAAGAAATACTATAGAACAACTAGCATAGAAGTATGTAATTTTATACCTGCAGTATCCATGCACAAGGTGTCTGAATTAAGATTGCACAGACAACCTTAAGAAATCATAAATTAGAAAATGCTAGAACTAACTTCAAAGGACTTTTAACATGGTTTTCTGTAAATAAGCAGAATGTCATGCTTTTGTCATATGCTTTTCAACAATGTACCTGAAGACTAAGTTATCAAGTATCACTGTATTCATTGCACTGTGATCTCCACTAAGGCATATGAATTATGTTCATGCAGTGAAACAGTGAATCCAATCTGTAAATTAAATCTCACTGATTACAACAGATTTAGATTGTAGGCTTCACTCTGATACAAGCTAAAAGCATTTGTTCAGAAGAAGTAAGGATGCAATAATCTCTGAAAGACTAATAATGAGTTAAGGGCTCCTTTTGTTTCTCAGACAAGCAGTTCCAAACTATTTAAAAGGTATACTGTAAAACAGGGCCAGGTTATTTGACTTTAATCCCTCCAATCCTTCCCGTTTTTCACAATTCTGGTGAGTCACGGGTCACAGATCTAGACCTCTGTTTAGGATTTATAAATGAGAGCGTATGACTTCCATTATTCTACTATCATCTAATTAAGAATGAGGACCTGAGGATCATTCTGCCAAATTTTTCAGGCAGAGCTAAGATCTAATTGAGTTTTGAATCTCCCAATGCTGGCATGAACGAAAAAGAGCTCATCTGAAAGATGAAAATACCCTAGTCACAATACAGGGGAAATTTCATTGCAATAAAATGTAATAGCTTGTGATCCAGTGGTTAGACTAAATGACTGAATGCTCCCTTATAGCTTTAAATGATAAACCTAAAAAACAGCAGAATGAGTTGTCATAAAACTGAGCTGAATACGCTATACCCATTATTTGAGACTCTAGGAATAAAATAAAAGTAAGACTAACAGCTCACCCTTCTATAACACACAGGGATCTGGGTAGGTCAAGAGTCTCACTTCTGTCAATACTGTCAGATGTAATGGCTTCACCATCGAAAAAGAACTTGAATTTTAAATCAGTTTATGCCTGGGTGATGGCCACTATGGGTTTAGCCCAAGTGGTTACTGATTTCACTACCTTAATGCAGAATCTGGGTTGGGATTATGAATGAGGACATTAGCTTTTTTCTCCTTGTTATACATGAGATGGAGCATTAACTCATATGTTTTGAGGCTGAGATATGACTGTTGATGCCCTTAAACAGAGGGTGAACAATAATTTGGGCTGGTGGGCCACTTAACAAGTTCTGATGACCTGACAAGGGCCACACCTCTCTCTCTCTCTCTCCCATTTCTGACCAATACAGAAGCCTGAACCCAGCCACAGCTGTAGTACGCCCTGCCGCCACCCCAACTCCATCCCAGGAGCCCCGACCCAGAAGCTGCTGGCCACGTTTGGGCAGCTGTGGACATGGCCAGCAGTTGCTGAGTCCAGACTTGGGACGGGGTTGTGCAGGAACCGCCCTCCCCGCCCCGCAACCCGTGCACCCCCTCCCCAAGTGAGCTGCTCACAGCTTTGTCCCATGCCGCACCCTGGCTGAGCAGCGCCTACTGGAGCCCCTTCGCTCTGGTGCATGGGGCAGTCACCCCACTTGCCCTCCACACTTAAATCAAATAAAAGCTACAGCACTGCAGCCTAGCACTGCTCAGTATGTGTGTGTATTCCAGATGCCCTCACAAAGAAGCCTTGTGTTAATTAGCACCCCCACTCATGACTCACTCAAACTGTTCAAATTGATATGCAGATGAGGCGCCGGGCTGCCTGATCTGTCTGAACCCAGAGAGGGTGTGGCTACACTAATCATATGCAACAGGTGAGAGAGGTGGCGACAGAACCCCTCCACTACAGAGAAGTTTGGTGATGTTTGCCAGACATTTAAGGCTCATGAAACAACAGGAATCAGCTGTGGGAGTGAAGAGGAAGTCAAAATGTATTAATTTTGATATAAGATATAGTGACAATAGGCACTATATCTAATACAGATAGAAGGTTCCATGAACACCAGGGGAGGGGGGAGGGCATGGCAACCACCTGCAGGCAGCAGCAGTGGTGGCAATGGCAGGGAGGGGAGGGGGGAAGTGGCGGGCAATGACAATCAGTTGGCAACCACCCGCAGACATCTCTGACACCATCGGCCAGCTGCAACTGGGGACCACCCGCAGATGCCACTGGCAGTATCGGTGGTGAGGGAAGGGGTGGCAAGCGGCAACCGGACTGCAGGCACCACTGGCAGCTTCAGCAGCACTTTCTGCAGCGGGTGCACGTGCACCCCCTACACGTCGCCAAAGGAAGGTTCCCATCAATGTGTTTGCCCACTGGGGCTAAGTACAGAGAGTCAAAAAGCCTGCGGCTGAACTGATTCAGTCTTTGAAAGTTAGTCTAAACTGGAGAAATTAAACTGAGAAGCAAGTGAACAGACATTCACTTTGGATTCAGAAAATGCAGCCACATGCCTGCAATGACTCAGGCCCGAAGCAGTGGGGGCGGTACTAGAGCACGGCTCCCAGCCTGCCAGCCGCTGCCAAAGGGAAGGGACTGAAGTTCCAAGGCTTTTCCCACCCTCCCTGCTCCAGTGGAGGGAGTGTGGCCAGGCCCCAGCCCTGGGCTAGCATGCCAGAGGGTGGGAGTTTAAATCCCCTCCCTGGCCCACAGGGGACCACAGCCTGGGTCTGCTTGGCCAGGGGAGGGGGCAGTGCCCGCCAGGCTTCTGCCCCCCTCCCCATCTCTTGCTCAAGGCCGGCAGGCTGAGAAGGGGTGGGTGGAGAAAAAGGTTGTGGCACTGAATTCATAAAACCTTGGACAAAAATAGTCCTCTCTCTGAAGCGAGCATATATTAAACACAGCAATTTGTAACTTCAAACACACGACAAAGAACAAGTAAAAATCTTCACCTAAGCTAAGATACAGCCCAGTAAAATACAGTCAGAGCATGCACAACTTATTCTAACTTAAAATGTAAAACAAGACAAAGTAAAGCCTTGCATAATATGTCTTACGTAATCCTGAGGGCAGAGTGTCTCCTTACAGCCAGGTATTCAGAAAATCCTTCTTGGGGAATCAGCAACTGGTCTTAGGTGTTGAAGCAGAGATCCCAGGGCTCACAGGTAGCAAGGGGACCAGTACCTCCAGCTCCAGTTCCCCAGTCTTTTCCTTCTTCCCCATGGCCTGGGGGAGCCGAGGGGAATTACACCCCCCTCCTCTTATCAACTGCCTGCCTGCCTCAGTCTCTGCCACACTGAGCTGCGAATGGAGAGGATTAAAGGCCCTCCAAGACCACAGACCCCAGCTAGAGTTTGCCGGGAGGGGCCGTCCCTCTTAGGCTGTTGCCCCAACACATCCCAGCAGGGAAAAGACTGGCAAGGACTACCCACCGGCCCCTGCAAGCACACCCAGCCCCTGTCCTTAGCCAGGCTTCCCACCCCCACCCCCTTGTCAACCAGCCCTCATTGTTCCAGCTAGGGAGCAGAGGGGTAGGGCCAGCCCTGCTCTCTGGAAAAGAAAGTACAGTACAGCCCAGCCCAGGGCTGCAAAGCATCCTGGGCTGCTGGGGGACTGTAATTTAACTTGAACCAGGAAGGGGTCTGGGACAGAAGTTTCATAAAACCAGTTTGACCTAAAATCAGTTAAGTCTGATACTACATTCAACCAGGTTAATTTTAAACCAGTTTCAGCCATTCTGAAACTGGTTTATGTGCACTGAGCTTCTGTTCTGTTACAAGTTACAGGTCTGTTACAGCTTCTGATCAGATAAACTGTTTTGTGTGCAACTTCTGTCTCTAGCCTATAGGCAATGCGTTTCATGGGCATACTCAGCAAGGGCTGCATTCAGTCATCTTCAGTTAGATCCCATGACTGAGCACATGCTGCTTCTAGCAGCAATTTAATGATAGCCAATGTACCTAATGGGGGGGGGGGCGGCGGCAGAATTTGCTGGTACACATATGTAAGACTAGGGGTTTATTCTCCCATGCTGACTGGGGGGAGGGGATGGGCACACTTTGCCTTATATTTGAGTAAATAGGGTAGATGTGTGACATTTTCAGAAGGCCTCTACTACCACATATGCAGTTTTACACACAACCTTATTCCATATGTGACACTAAGTGTTTTTACATGTACCCTGGGAGGCGTGGGGGAGCACTTTAATTAGAGAGCCGTGTTAATTAAAAGTGCCTGAAAGTCACGTGTATCAGCGTCCCCTGCCTTGAAAAACAAGGGCAGGGACCTTTGAACTAAAGTTCATTGAACAAGCTTTAGTTCAAAGCACCCTGCCATTATTTTTCAGTGCAAGGACACTGATGCATGTAATGTGGGAGGCTGCTGGAGCACAGTAATTTCTGTGTTCCAGCAGACTCTTAAATGAAGTCTGCTGACTTGCTGGATTTACAATGCATCAGAGCTGGCTCCCTGTACATCTACAGGAGCACTAAAATTCTAACCATAACAAGCCAACATTCGACAAGATGAGGAAACTATTCTATATGATAACAAAAATATGCACAGACATTTAAGGATTCTTATGCAAAATGAACAATAATTCTCAAAAAAGCTGTATTGTTATAGTATATGGATAGGCCATTTAAAGTTCCCAGATTTTTCAGGATTCTTACTTTTACCTACCTATCTATATAGGCCTATGCCTCTATAAACATGTACATGTGCAGGCATATGCACACACATGCATATGCACAAAGAGTTCAAATCCGTTTCCCCATGCTTCGTCCTACATGAGTACCTGGCTTGCTTCATTTCTTTTTTGGTAACCAATCTACTGATTTCCACTGAGTCTCCAAGTTGCAGGTCTGTTAATTTAGTGGCTATGGATATAGCAGCTATTCTGGAAGAAAAAAAAAAAAAGAGATTTTATTTGATTCATATAAACAACAATCACTTGGAAAATAGTACGGAACTAAAAATTGATTCTTGAGAGAAGACTAGATAGAAAATGCTTAGGGGAAACCAACACGGGTTCATCAGTGGCAGGTCCTGTCAGACCAACCTGGTGGCCTTTTACAATCAGATCACCAGATCATTAGATGCAGGGGTA